GACTATTTGCCAACGCTCTTAAGTTCTTACCACCTTTAATTCCTTCTTCTCAAAACTGTGGGCGTGCGGAGTCAACAAAATTCGGCAAAACGTGTTCTTTTGCGCATGGCAAAGTCTAACCGCGGTTAACGAGATCACCTCAACGGGAATCCTCAAAAGGAGAATTTGGAAAGCCAGCTTGCGGGCGAAATCGTTTCGCAAGCAATAAGGTTTCCTTAAGTAGGCACCCTACCGTGTGGATTTGATACGTGCATTTCACCAAGGCCCCTTATTCAACTTTATTTCCCCCTAAAAAACGTCCCATGAGAAGGTGTGAAGATCAAGGAGAAAGTGACGTTTGCTAACAAGGGAAATTATTCTTTGTAGATATGAAATTTTGTCTGAGGGCCCAAATGGTGTACCCATCAAATATGGCAAAATTGGAGAAACCGTCTACCATAAATGGACATGCGTTTCTGAGTTGACTGATGTGTACTGCATGCGAGTTCACTCATGTACAGTTTACGACGGGCAGGGTGGACCACCAGTCACTGTATTGGATGCAAATGGGTAAGAGTTCAACTTTTCCGATACTGTAGACTTCTCCCATCAGTGCATTTTTAGATGCTCAGTTGACGGCGTGATCCTCCAAAATCTTGACTATACCTCGGATCTGACTGCTGGCAAATCCGCACAGGTGCATTTATCTACAAGTGAATTTCTAAAATATACATGAGGACTTTCAGGTTTTCAAATTTGCTGACAAAGCTGGGCTTTATTTCAATTGTCAGATCCAGCTAACAATTAAGGATAAACAATATGGATGCTCGACTGCTGTAGGTTTTCTTAAAAATAATACGAACTATAGATCAATGGTATTTAAAATTTATGATAGGGATATCATATGTAACCACAAGAAATCTATTATCCCATGAGAGCAAAAAAAGTAAACATTTGTTTCCAAAATTATCCTTTCCATAACTAAACAAGTACATTATTCTCCTGATTAATATAGCCAGCTATGCGACGTGGCTTTTTTAAAACTGAATCTATACTTTTTTCTAGGGCATAGAATAATACGCAGGTTATGAAATTGGCACGGGCGTCCCAATCCGAAAATCTTTGACGAAGATTTCTCAGGATTCAGAAATTCATAGAAGTGTCAGCATAATAGGATAAGAATGAAAGATTTCCGTTTTGCTTAGATCTAGGACAACAAAATTTAAAGGTTTTTTTAAAAATTTACGTAGTGTACCCATTCCGCCTCCTGTAAGTGCGACCCGTAAAACCAATAAACTTGAGAACATTTACAAATTGCGCCGCATAAACGCTGGCGATTTTGGCCGTACTGGTCTAGTCCGATTTAGTCTTTTTATCATTCTTTACACAATGCTGCATCAGCGACATTTATTGTCATGCTGATTAGAAATGCCATACAATGGTAAAAATGTGTCAATTTTATAGAACGGCGCTTTGTCACGAAACCTCTACTCTCGCATTTTAGTGTATTTGATTCGAGGATTTGCATTTTCAAACTCAAGTGACGTTGGGTAAAAGACATTAGAAAATTTCAACAGTATTTTAGACAATATCTTACAGATACACAATATTTTTAAATACTTCACATATTTAGAAGCTTAGTCTGTGTAGTTCTTTATTACAGATCTGACCCAATTTTTTTAGCAACCACAATGTGGGCAGACCTATGTGACGTCGTCGGCTCAGACGACTGAAGTTTCATCCGAGTATACTGGAAGTCACGAGTCTGGGTATCCAACAAGAGCAGCGGAAGAAGCCTACAATGGTGGATCATCAGGTATCTTTGGATTAATAGAGATTTATATTAATTTAAAAAATAGTAGATTAATTCTAATTGATAGTACTTCGCGACTTTCACTTCTAAGGCTACTAAACTTAGCAAAACTTAGACATCGACGATAA